GGGCAGAGCCTATCCCAGTTATTATATTATATATGGTTAACTGCAATCAAGTGATCACACAACAGTGCTTAAAGCATCTGCACATTCACATAAACATAAAGAGCATCCTCTCTGACCAAATAAGGAGGATGCTGGATTGTGTTTGTCCACTTCACTCTGGAACTGCTGTCTAGCACTGCGGGACGGATCTGACAGTTATACGCTCTGGCCTGATCAGCAGCCACAATCATGAACAAATATGATGAATTTAAATAAGTAATACAGCAGCTGCAGCCAAACACAGGAAGTAAAGCTGGCAAATAAACTGCTGGCTAAGTGAATGTGTTGCAAGGCTGATCAATATCTCTGCCCGATCATTACAAATGTATTTGAACAGAAGATGCCTACAGGTCTCTCCTCTTTGTTCTGAGCTCCTCACACTAAACAGGAATGGGCCTAGGGATGCTTATAGGCTTGGCTTTGTATTGTTTTATTATGTTTTTTGGATTTTCACCTAATCAGACATATGCACATCTATAAAAACTCACTGACCACTTTATTAAGGATACCTTAAAAAAAGGTGGTTACTGGTTGACACAAATACCCGATCAATCAATCACATAGCAGGAACTCAATGCATGTAGGCATGCAGTTCAGTTCTGTGGATGATAATCCCATCAGAGGTCAGAGGAGACTGGCCGTACTGCAGTAACTCAAATAACCACTCATTTCAACCACAGCAAGCACAAAGGCCATCTCTGAATCCACAACACGTTGACCCTTGAAGCAGATGAGCTTCAGCAGCAGACGACCAGACCGGCTGCCACTAGTGTTGGCCCAGAACAGCAAACTGAGGCTACATTCACACGGGCTCACCAAAATTGAACAACAGAAGATTTGAAAAACACTTCCAGTTTAAAAAAAATCCAAAGTGCTTTACACTAAAATAAAATAGGGGGGAAAAAAGGTTACATACTCAAATTTCCACCACTGTCACCCGATCCCATCCAGTGAGATGTGGTGAAACATCGTGGATGTGCAGCATCCAGCATCCACACAATAGTGATACTATTGTGTCAATATGGGTACAAATCTCAGAGGATTCCAGCAGCTTGTTGAATCTATGCAAGGAAGAATTAAGGCAGATCTGAACTCGAAAGGAGGTCCAACCCGGTGTTAGGAAGGAATACTTAAAGTGAGTCTATGTATCCAAGTTCCCCCTCTATGAAAAGGTTTCATCAGATTTGGCACACATGTTCACTCTGGCTCAAGGCTGAAGTAATTAAGTGGAGCTCCGTGCTAAACTGCACAAAAATACATCCCCCCTCCTGCTCTACTGTACATTCTCAACTTTCAACACTGAACTGTGTAAACTGTCCGGGTTAGGCTGCTCATACGGACTGAATCTATACTGTCAACAAATGAGGGAATAAGTGAAAGAGCAAAGGAAGCAATTACTGTATCTGTCTTCATCCCGCCTCCTGCAGGATAAAGCCACCGTTGTAGCACTAACACCAGAAGTTCCTCAGTCTCGACCTGAGTCTGGTCTTTAGTGAGCTACCAGAGCCCGAGGGGAGATAAGGGGCCTGCCAGGCAAACAAACTTCACATCCAGATAGAAACGTTCATTTATAAAGCTATTTATGTGAAAATGGGAAAATCCATAACCGCTTAAGCTTGCTTTAACCCAAGACAGATGATGAAAAGCTTTTCTAGATGTGCACTGTCTGACAAGTAATCCCTTAATTACGCGGTTCTATTTGACCAGAGCCGACAAGCAGAGCTATCTGACAATGTCAGTTTAGAATATGACAGTTTCTGAGGTTCAAGTATGACAGTTTGTCTATAACTGAAGCCTCATGTATGTTAACATAAGGCGTTATTAATATTCATCACTGACATTTATTCTCTGCGTTACTCCTACCCTTTTGTTTTCTTATTTAACAAAGGCTTGCGTTTCGGAGGAAAACTAAATCTATCGGCGATCTATCACGAGTTCATAAAGGTCAGAAAAGGTTTATGTGTATATTATATAAATTGCATTTCTGATGGAAGCTCAGGCCACTGCGTGCCTCATTAAACTACCTGAAAATACCCAGGATTTGAATGTCAGTACCTCAGTATTTTTGGTATTTTACTGCGTCTGTGTCTCTGGGGTAATGACTGCCTATCTCAGTCCCGGCTGCTTCAGAAAGCAGCTGCTTTCTTACCAGCATTAGCAAAGAGCAAAACATAACCCCAGTCTGGGCTTCTCTCCACTGGCTTCCTGTACGGTTTAGAATTGATTTATTGATTTCTGCATTTTACTGGCCAGTTTTAAAGCACAACCCTGTAATGTCATTTGGGATTGCAAACCCCCTGGCAGCCTTAGATCATCACGCTGAAGCTTAAATCTAAAGCCGTCTGTGCGTTTGTCATCGGGGCTGTTCAGCTTTGGAACAACTTTGCTGAAGAGATGAGACTTGCAGAACAGAGTAATTTTCTTTAAATGGCTTAATAAAACACTCTGACATAGACACAAAAATGTCCTTTTATGTGCAGTTGTCTTTTATTGTCCTTTTATCATTTTCAATTATCTTTTTATTGTTTGTTACTGTTATTTCTTTTATTGAGTTTATTCTTTTTGTTGGTATTTATTATTTTATATTGACATTTTGGCATTTCTGTATATTTTCTCTCACTCTGTTTTAACCCTACCTTTGCTTTAACCTCATCACTGTTTGCTGGCATCACACTCTGGGTCTCTTTCTGGGAATTCCTTTCTCGAGGCACAAAATATAGGGAAGAAAATGTTTGAATTAAATACACAAACTGATTTACTAATAGATCGTGACATGCAATTTGCTGCTAGTTGCGCCGATATTCAACACAAAAAAGGGCACGTCTTATTTTTTTGCACTTTATATTGAAATGACCTGATGCCTCCTATCCTTAGAAAACAGCACAACTTTTGTAAATCACCTGTAAAATTAACCACACTTTTGAGTATGATCACTATTTGGAGATTGCACTCATATGGTATTTTGTATTTTGTGGCCCATAGTATCACAGTGTTACTAAACTAAAAACACTTTCTGAAAACTAAGAATTCATGAGTTAAAACACCAGAAATTAACTAGGAATTCACTTAAGACCCCCTCCTCCCCCATGAAAGGTTGAGTTTGCAGAAATGTCTAGAGGAATTTAATTCAATTCAATTTTATTTATATAGCACCAAATTATAACAACAGTTGTCTCAAGGCGCTTTATACTGTAAGGTAAACACCCTGCAATAATACAGAGAAAATCCCAACAAGCATATGAACCCCTTTGAGCAAGTGTTTTGGCGACAGTTGGAAGGAAAAACTCCCTTTTAACAGGAAGAAACATCCAGCAGAACCAGGCTCAGAGGGGTGCGGCAGGACAGGACAAAGATACATTGTGGAAGAGATTCAGAGATAAATAATAACTAATAATAAAGATTTGGATCTCAATACTGTGGATGATCAGCATCTACACTAATTAATTGCAGAGAGGTATAAACACATAGTGAGTGTAAAAAGGTGAGTGAAGAAGAAACAGTGCATCATGGGAAGGCCCCAGCAGCTTAAGCGTATTGCAGTAAAACTAAGATACATTTCATTCTGATGTAGCCATAACTATATGCTTAATTTATGTTTAAGCCTAATCTTAAAAGCAGAGAGGTTACCATTAAAACCCTCAAGAGGGTCAGTCCATCACCAATCAGACAACATTTAGAGCATTTTCTGCTTGACCATCTGTGATTTGCATAAAGATTTTATGTCCAGAATTACAACGATTTCTGTCACATTTTAGCTTCATCAGCAAAAGGCCTGTGTTGATTTGAGGTGGAATGACCGAAGAACTACACCTCAGACTCTACAGGCCTCAGTTAGTATATAATGACAGTTAATCAGAAAAAGACTCAGACAGTATGGATTTATTTGAGAGGGCTGCAACACGTCTTCTGTCTTAAAAGAACACGTTTGCAAAGATGAGACCAAAGTGGACATGTTCGGCCACAGTGCACAGTGCCATGTCTAGTGAAAGTCAAACAGGATATCAGCACAAACTCTTCGTACCATCTGTCAAGCACGGTGGTGGAGGGCTGAGGATTTGGGTTTATTTTTCAGCCACCGGACTTAGGTACCTTACAGTCTCTGACTCAACCATGCGCTCCTCTGTAAAGCAAAGGATTTTAAAGACAAGCATAGCTTGTGGGACATGCAAAAATACAATGATCTCAAGCACAGCAGCAAAACTACAGCAGGTTGGAAGAAAAAGATCAAGGTGTTGCAATGGTTTAAAGTCCAGACCACAACCTGACTGAACAGTTGTGATGGGACCTTAAGAGAGCTGCACATAAACTAATGTTAGCAAACCTCAGTAAGCTCAAGCAAAGCTGTAAAAAACGCTGGGATAAAATTCCTCCACAATGATGTAAGAGACTGAGAAACTGTGTGTGAGTGGCCTGATAGTGCTGCTAAAGGTTGCTTTACAAGAGACATGGTGTAATATTTCATATGTTCATCTGAGGTTGTATTTACCTAATTTTAAGACTCGGTGAAGATAATTTTTTCCAATTGTGTCCTGATATGTAGAGCTAACAGGGAGAGTACTTTCTTTTTATGATGACTGAAACAATAAATAATGAAAACAAAAGTTTAAACACGCTCTGGCACAGCAGCAACTATTTCACTGTGAACACATGTCACATGACTTGCAATTACTGACTTTTATATAAATATCTTGTGCTACGGATGAGTGAAGCACTAACTTCTCTTAAAATGTGGCCTCGAAGCACAATGAAGTGAGCTGGGCGCTGATTATTTTTCAGCCATCTCTTATTTCGGCTGGAGTTTGTCTACATTTGAACATCCATCTTTTCTTCGTTGTTTCTGACGAACATTTGAGGAAAATCTTTTTTTCTTTTTTTTTTTCTTTCAAAACACAGTGTGAAGTGTGCAAATCCTTGTACCGGCTGGTTGCTTATGGGGTAAACAGAGTTTTTCCAAAGCCGTGACACAGCCCGGCCCACTGAGATCTGCAGTCTGTGTGTGACATCAAGTAACATGACCTTTTTCTTACTTTTCTTCACTGAGAGGTAATTACGTCTCTCGGTGAAGAAACTATCCATGTATTGTTTCGGACAGTATGAATATGTTAAGACCCTCTGATGTTTCAGCAGTTTTTTTTTCTGCTTCCTGGCAGTGGCGCACGAAACATAAAAGTGCATAGCGTGTGAGGCGCAGGTAAGAATCTATTTATATCGTTTTATCAATGGAACGATCTTACTTTCATTTGTTTGTAGCAGTCAAAAATGCAACTGCATGAACACGAATTCTGTTTTTCACTTGCTTGAACGTAAGTCTCAGCCATCAGAGTGAAACTGCTGCTGAACTGAATATGAGCTCCCTGGGGCTCACAATGCACTGCGATATTCCATGCACGGCTTCTTAATGTCCCATCTTTGGAGAAGTCAATTTAGGTACACAATGAAGCGGCAATTGCGCGTGAGTGGCCTGAAAACAAGTCCAGGATACACTATGGCTGCTCTGCAAGCGTGTCCAAAATGGCATTTTGTATCCATGTGCGACAAAAAAAAAGTGAAGCTACAGCTCACACAGGTGAGCCGCTCAGAGAGAATGAAGATATTTCTATATTAAAAACATTTTCCAGGTAAAACACTAAAGAAGCAACTAAAATAGTGCGTGTGAAGCTGTCACGTGTTTGTTTGTTTATTTGTTTGTTTCGTTTGTAAATGAATCTGACGATACACAATCCTTCGAAGATCTTACTCGCCTTTACGCACACACTGGAGTTGCAGGAAGAGGCGACCTGACACCGTTTATTTCATTGGGACTTTTCACTCGAGAAACGTTATGGGTGGGGCTTGGTGAGGGGAAAGAAGAAGAGGGAAAACACGGTGATGTGTGTGCTGTGAATTCAAAGCTGGGTGGGTCCACAGAGTTTCACATTCCCAAATAACTCCCGCGCGGTGCGTTAAAGAGCGTCCAGGTAACGTTTCTGCTCTTTGCTTACTTGTAGAAAGGCGACGGTTTACGGAGCACACTCTGTGAAACCCTCTTACGGATGGCTGAAGTGGGGGTTTTTTAAGCCTGTAGGAAAAACTTCAGTTACTTTAAGCGCAAGAAATATGACTGACCGTGAGCGCAAAAAAGCCCTAAAAAGACGCGCAACTGGAAATTTGGCGCACTAACATAGCGTTGAATAGTCCGTGAGTTTATGCTGTGCTTATTATTGTTTTCTGTTGTCGTACTATCGCGCTCTTTTTAAAGTTATCGACTACAGTGCGGGCCCTGTGTGTGTCATCCGTTTGGGAATGCCGTCTTAACAAATGCGCCTTTATTGTCGACGGAAACGCTCAAAAGACGTAAAAAAAAAAGGCTCAAAGCAAACTGCGGGCGTTTACAGGCGCACTGATTGGTGCTAATGAATCTGAGCAGATTAATTATAATAAATAATAAATAAACATAATGACAAAGATTGAAAGCACTGATGTGTTTGACACCAGATGTGTTTTATTCAAAAATGTTTATGCCTGCATGATTTCTGCGGCAAGTCTGGGCTTGTATAAAACGGCTCTCTTCTCTGTTACTGTTATTTCTTTATTTCTTTGTTTCACACAGTTTCTCTCTCTCCCCCTCTCTCTCTCTGTGTGCGTGTGTGTGTGTGTTTAATTAATACTCCCTCATGTACGAGTCCGTGTTACATACGTCTGCGCTTGCAAAATAAATAACGGTGTGCCTCCTTCCACTTCCCCCACCCTATTATCAGTTTTCAGAAGGCCATAATGTTGATGCTGGCAGCAATCGTTGTTCTGCACATAACCACCATCATCCTGCTCCTGGTGGCCGCCATTGACAATGTAAGATGATGTTATTTTCTGTATTAACTGGAGGAGATCTGACAGCGGTTTCTAGAAAATGTGTAACATATCTGCATGAACTTTAAATCTTTCCTTTGTGTCGTCAGGCCTGGTGGGTCGATGATTTAGTGTCAGCTGACCTGTGGGGCAGGTGGGACTTATCAAACAATGTGTGGCATTACACAAATCTGAAAGGCTACCCAGAAGGTAAACTCCACAGATTGTCCCCCTGTTAAAGTTAGTGATTTTTCATTATTTATATAATGAAGGGCAAAGATGATGACGGAACAAATCACGTATTACACTGTTTACAGTAAATATTGTCAGTCTGAAATGAGTAGATCTGTAGGTAGTGGTGTTAATACAAACATAAAACTGAAAAGGCCGAATATTTCCTCACGCCTGTGTTATTGTTGACTTTTTTATTATCTTGTTGCTGCAGATTATCTCCAGGCGGTGCAGGCCACTTCAGTGCTGGCCTGCGTTTTCTCCATCCTTGCCTTGTTTGTATTTGTGGCCCAGCTGTTCACCCTGCCCAAAGGAATGAGGTTCACCTTCACTGGCATTTTACAGATAATTGCCTGTAAGTTACCTGCAGTCTTGTTTCTTTTGGCTGACTTTATGATTTTCTCTGGAGGATGTGCGACTGACAAACCTGACATATGTGATTTTTGTCTAACTAAATAAGTTAGCACGACGCTCGAACTTAAAGCTTCATAAAGGATGTTGGTAAATAATTAAACAAATTTTTAGCCTCATCCGTTCAACAGACCAATGAGCTCATTGCATGGCGAGGCATCTATCTATCTGTGTCAGTTCACAACAATCACCACTCCTCTTTCAGTACTGGGCAGAGTTTAATCGACTTACACACAAAGGTCATATAATGGCTTCTCACTACATGGATGTGGATGAAGTGGTCTGACTGGTTGACACCCAAATTAGGAAGGTGTGGTCAGGGCTTTCCTGTTACCAGTGTTGATAACATGAGTAATACTGTCAGAGCAGTGACATCCTGATGCGTGCACATCATTTAATTTCAACACTATTATGCAGATTTAGATCAATGTAATCTGCAAAAAATAAGATTTATCTCATAATATAAAATATAAATAAGTCAATTAAATTATATCATTTATTTTAAGTGGGCCAGTCAGATTCTGAGACACTGACCTGAGGCTGGAGGTTGGATACTAAATTGTTATTATTAACATTAACTATTGACATCCACACCATGGTAATGTTTGTCTTCTGCAGCACGAAACGTTGCATCGAAGTGCAGGGCAAAGCTTCAGTTCTGAAAATGCTGATTAGCCTGCTTTTCCTCATAGCAGCCGCCACATACTTGCGTAAATACTTAAAGGCATATTTGCGCATTCACTACCACATCTAAGCATGCAGACACTCACACACACACCAAATCTACCTCATTAAAGAGATATTAATACCACCAGAACTCTTTTGGCCTGCTCTTAATGTAAGAAAGACTTCTGAGAAGAGAGAGTAAAAGCCGTTTCATTTTCATGCGCTAGTTTAGCTTGTATGTATTTGAGATTACTGTACTTGTTATTATTTGTTTTTGCAATTAAGAAAGTGTTGTCTTTTAAAAATATCATTTTAATATGGCGAGTAAAAACAAGGAAAGGGTCTATTTTTGTTTGTTTTTATTAAGAGATGTTTGCAGGTAAACTTGCTATTTTCTTGCAGTTTCTAAACTGAAAATCAATGAACAGTTCATTTTTCTCTTTTGAATATTTGTTATTTCTCATTAATAATAATAGACAGATAGATTACTAAAATAATGGGCAGCTGCAGCCCTGTCATGTAATCATCAGTAGTCCTGAGTTCAAACACTTTCATTTGGTGCTGAACAAGATGAATCTGCCCTCGATATGACTGTTTGAGAGACCCTTGACTACTCAGTGGATTTGAATTCTCATTAGTTTGTACAAACCAGCCAACCAGTGATTAGAAGTTCTTCACTTTCTGTGTGTACCTCACACATTGCAATAACCAGTGAACTGTGATGGATCAGCAAGGTGAGCGTGTTTGCATCTCAGACACATGAAATCTGTAGAAAATCAGTAGAAGCTGATCTCAGCCACAGCACAGCAGTGTGTTAGTCTTTTAGGTGTCACAAATGAATGATTTTGACACTTCAAATAGTTAACAGTATCACATTTAACAGTGTGCTGCTTCTGTTAATGTCATGAGGTTCACTAGAAAAAAAAGTTGTCCAGCACACCTGCTCCAGCATTCTCAGGTGTGCTGATTTCTCAACAACACCCCCAAACATTTTTGTTTGCCGTCAATGTGCAACAAAGCATCATGTTTTCACATTTGAGAAGCAAAATCTAGAAAATGTATTCACTCACAAAAGCCTGAGCCACCTGTCATGTCTATGCTTTGCTTCCAAGGAGCCAGGCTTTCTTCTTAAAGTAAGCGATAGTTCTCCAGGCTTCCTGGAGGTTCTTTAAAGTTTCATTGGACATTGGCTGCTTTTTATTTTAGTCAAGAAACATTTTCATGCAAATCCCCCCTAACAAAAAGACCACAAACCGAGTCAGTTTTTTGCCACCATGTCAGATGTAAAAGGGAAAAAAAAGGTCCCGAATGATTAAAATTTCATGCTTTAAGTTAATTATGCATTATCAGTGATAGTACTACGAGCACATGAGAAACTCACACAAAGTGCGAATGTCATGAGTTCATAACACTGGAAAATTAACAAGGTGGAAGTGTCATGTCTTTCATTTCCTTGTGATTGCACTGGTCACATCACGAGCTTTATCTTATAATAGAAAAATAATTACTTCTTGATTGCCTTGTCTTGGTTGCATGTAATAATAATTTTCCCTCTTGCAGGCCTTTGCATAATGACAGGAGCCTCAATCTACACAGCCAAGCTCCACGTCAATGGCACATCTGGAGGTTACGGACACTGCTACATCCTGGCGTGGATCTCGTTTGTCCTCACCTTCATCTTAGCGCTCACCTATTTCATCCTGCGTAAGAAGAAAGAGTGAGAGGAAAAACAGAGGGCAGGGCTCGTTCTCCTCTTTTAGAATTGATGAACACCATCTGAAGCTACGACTGTAGCAAAATGTCCAAATGCTAATGAGAGCCATTTGTTTATACAGCTTTTTAAAATATATATATATATATATATAAAATGATATGGAGCAAATGCTAACATTACAAGTGTGAAACACATTTTTTCAGCAAAACTGACAAACAAAATAATGTTTTTTCTTTTTAATAATGTGACTAAAACGCCTCATAGAGCTGAATTATTGGGAATATTACCAGAACATAGCTAATAAATCAGTTTAGTCTTAAATAGTAGTAGTAGTTCAGACATAAGTACTTTAAAGGAATAGTGTGACATTTTGAGAAAGGCTTATAATCGCTTTGGGTTGTTTTGTTTGTTGTTTTGTGCTAAAAAAAAAAAAAGGCAAGATTGATTTGAGTGAACTTTTGGTCACCTTAGCTTTAGTGAAACAGTCACTGAGCTGTACATGAGCATTTTTGGCTGGGTGCAAACAAAAAGGGGAGACTCTAACTTCAGAGGTGACGGCGGTTTGAAGCCAGTGTTTTCACATTTTCAGTTCTTCTGCTAAGACTGTGCATAAAAGATGGTCACAACTTCCGAGCTGCATTCTTCCTAATGACCAGCAGGGGGCAAATCTGTGCAGCGTGGTTGCGTAGAAGACGATGGGAAGAGAAAACTGCTCAGGAAACTCTCTTTACATGGTCACGGTCTTTGTTTTGTTTTGTTAAAACCTTGGTCCTCTTTAGTGTACAAAGTCAAACAATTAGTATTAATCTCCTACTCAGCAAGATAGTAAATAATTTAGTCCCAAAATGTTTACCAGTTCCTTTAAGGTTCAGAAAGGTTGATGGAGACTAAATCTTATCATTAAATATGTTAAAATTCTAACTGAGGAGTAAAAAACGACAAATAACATTCCTGTTGTAGTACTTGAACAATCAGGAAATAACAATCCTTCATTTACAACTAGCTTTAATCATGTTAATCGTTATTTTACAGCTAGAAAAAAAACCAAATACATTATACATCAGTCTATGTACATTGTAACCATCATATATTTTTAAGCTCCTTTTTGTTTTTTTTATTATTGTGTTTACTTATGTGTCTGTAGGGGGCTGCTATCATAAGAAAAGTACATGCATTTGTACAAGTGAAAATTAAGTGACCCAGGGATGGAGGACAGAGGTGTCATTGCACCATATTACAGAACTATGCAGTAGAAGATTTTGTTATATTGGAATTTAAGCCATGTTATGTCATTTATTAATAAAAATGATAAAACAAAGCATTCGTGTTGAATCTACTAACCAGCTGTAAACACAATAAGTTCTTCTACATTTGAAACTTTTACATAATAAAAACATATGACGTGGTCCAGTTTTATAGTCTCCACTCAGATACATACACAACATTTATTCTTAGCTAAGCATTCCTGGCAACAGCAATCTGCACGTCTGAGGACAACAAAGACAGTTCAGCTTGATTTCCAAACCTACGTGACTGAATAAGCACAAAGTTTAACATTTCTCTGAGTCCAAGTTACAACACTGGAGTTTGAAAACAACCCTTCTCCGGGCCTTACAACAGACCCATTCAGAAACAGGAATGTTCCATTATATAAAGTATCGTTCCCAGAGGAAGCGAATAAAAACTGGACTGTATTAAATGCCTTGACCAGACGGCGTGATGCGCTCCTGAACCACCAGGTGGAGAAGATGGTTCTGCTCAGCTGTCAGAAACGGCCTGCAAGGGGAAAACCGCATAAAGCATGTGATCAATATGGAAAATTAAGAATGACAAGCAGTAAAAGATATTTTCTCACATGATGGAAATTAACATTTGTAAATGCTTACCATAGCTCAGTCTGAAGAGACTTTAGAGACTCTGTGTCTTTCTCCTGACACGCCATCTGCAAAACAGATCTGTTGTTATTCACCGCACTAATAAAAACAGAACTGCAGATTCAGAGGACCCTGACGAGGCCTCTGACTTGTTAACATTTATTCTCTGTTACCGGCCATTCATTCCCAAAGACAGAGCGTGCTCCTTCGAGAAGAATCTTTCTCTACATTACACATGATTATTTTTTATTAACTTTTTTTTATTTATACAGTTATTAAAAAAAAAAAAAAAAAAAAAAGGATGGCCTCTGTCAATTCTTATGTGTCACATATCAGGACGCAATAAAAATTATTTGGTCCATAGTAGGTCTTAAAATTAGGTAAAGACATTCTGAGACATTTCATCATTATTTAACAAAACAGCTAAAAACCCCCAAAAAAAAAACAGAAGCAGTGTGTGAAAAACATCAACTCAAGATTCAGTAGATTGTAGAACAACCTTAGTGGTGAGGTGTGTGTCCTTTGTTTATGCACAGCTCTCTTAAGTTTGTGGTCTAAACTTTGGGCCTTGTTTCTTTTCTTTTTCAGCCATTCTCTGTTTGAGATTTGCTGCTGTGCTTGGGGTCCAAAGGACACTGTTCCAGAAGTATTGTAGTTTGTTCAGATGCAACTTTGCAAACCCAAGTCATGCTTCCATATTCTGAAAGCAGAGGCTTTATCGTATGCTTGAACTGTATGGTCATGCAATTTAACATGTAACCTGCTAACTGAGCCTATGAAATGCAGCTCTTGGGTTCTTTGCGGTTTCTCTGACCACTGGATAATCTAATCTTGGGATTAATTTGCTGGGACGTCCACTCCTGGGAAGACTGACAGCTATCTTGAATGTTTTCCACTTGTGACTGTCTCACTGCAGAATGATGGACCTCAAATTGTTTGGAATCAGCTTTGTAACCCTGCCTAGATTGAAGGGCAGCGACAGCTGCTTCTCTCACATCATTGCTGATGTCTTCCACATTGGCACTGTGATTATGAATGCTGCAGGCCAACAAACTGCCAAAACGTCTGTGCATTTGATTAGCAGCACCTGGTTGCTTCTTACTCTCTTAATACCTACAGAAGAACTAAAGGTGTTTTTCACACAGTGCTTCTATATTTTGGCTTCTCTGTAAAAATACCGACATGATGTAATGTGTCATGTGTTGCTTCTTTTTACTGTGACTGGGGAAAAAAATGAATATCTTTAGTGTAAGAGGGAAAAATTCTGAGGCAGAAAACCTACACAAAGCTGGCAAACTGCAAATGCTGAAGCAAAAACAAACAAACAAAAAAACAATCACTTCACTGCCAAAGGAAAAAAAACAAAACAAACTTCAACACACACAATACATCACTGTCATATGAAGGGCGTGAAGACCATTATTTTTCCTGTACGAGACAGGAAGACTCAGACCGTGTTATCATGAAACTCACCACTACGGACTGCAGGAGCAGGAAAACATTCTCAGGCAGGAAGGTCACTGAAACAGAAGACAAAAAAAACAACATTTACGCAACTTCAATAAGTGCGCAGGATTAATGACACATTATTATACTCAAGCAGTCGAGTGCTGAGGTGAATTTACATTGGCTGTGAGGATCAAAGGACTCCCACGCGTATCTCTCCAGGGTCTGGGCGTGTTCTGGTAACAACTTCTGAGGTGGAGGCTGCACCAAAAAAACCCAAACAAAACCACAACAACGTGGGACCATTTCAGTTCTGCTGCACCAACAATCCTGAATTTTTCAAGATGCACAGTAATTACTGTAAGATGCTGGATAAATAATTAACATTGTCATTAAGTGTAATTGCATTGTTTAAAACAGCTTTAAAAAACTATTCTGCTTTCTAACAGTTCACTGATTGGCCAGCGGAAGGCTGTTTGACACTCAAGTACAGGCGAGTGTTTAAGCTGCTGAATCTATGTGGTTAAAATAAAGAAATGAAACTCTATGCAATGCACACAACAGGTGCTTTCATTATGCTAATGTGTCTCCTCAGCTCTCTCACTCGAGTCTCAGCTCCTCGCTGCGAGAATTAAGTGCGAGAGACAGTGAAGAGACGTGAAACCGGAGGGTCCAAAGCTGCCAAATGAGAAATGCTTGCATTAATAGCTCGAGTCTCACGTCACGTCAAACTGTGTGTCGCATGTGGAGGTGCAGTACTTGTGTCAGGATACATTAGGACCAGCTTTTTCTCACTCTGTGCCTCCTCTCTCCTTGCAGTGCATTTAAAGTACACTGTATTTCCAACTGTGTACTGTGATAGGATGCCACCTGTGCAACAAGTCCAGTTGTGAAATTTCCTCACTACTAAATATTCCACAGTCAGCTGTTAGTGGTGTTATAATGACGTGGAAGTGATTGGGAATGACAGCAACTCAGTCATGAAGTGGCAGAGCACATAAAATCACAGAGTGGGGTCAGTGGATGTTGAGACGCACAATGCAAAGAGTTCTCCAACTTTCTGCAGAGTCGACTGCTACAGACCTTCGAACCTCATGTTGCCCCTCGGACTCAGCCCCTCAGTTCCAGTGAAAGAAACTTAATGCTTCAGCATAACAAGATATTTCAGACAATTTCAAATTCCCAACTTTGTAGAAATAGTCTGTCAATGGTACCTTCGAGTGCAGAAAGCAAGGTCCATAAAGACAAGGATGAGCGAATTTGGTGTGGAAGAATTTAACTGGCCCGCACAGAGTCTTGACCTCAACCTGACAGAAAACCTTTTGGATGAATTAGAGTGGAGACTGCGAGCCGGGCCTTTTCACCCAACATCCGTGACTGACCTCACAAAAGTGCTTCTGGAAGACTGGTCAAAAATTCCCTTAAACAAACTCCTAAACCTTGTGGAATGAATTCCCAGAAAGGTTGAAGCTGTTATAGCTACAAAGGGTGGGTCGACATTATATTAAACACTATGGATTAAGAATGGGACATCACTCAAATTCATATGAGTGAGAAGGCAGCTGCACGAATACTTTTGGCAATATAGTATGTTTGAAGAGTGAATTTAAAGGTATTTATTGCAACTACCTATAAATAAAAACTTGTTAAAGTGCATATTTAGATAAATTTAAACAAATGGCCTGAATCATACCTTCAAAAACACAACACTGAACATGACTTTGCACTCAAGTCTGCAGTGAGAGAGGTTGTTTTAATTATCAGCAAAACCGATGAGCTTACCTCAAGCAACATGAGCAGAAGTACCCTGGATATCTCACATTTTGCCACAATGTCCAAAAAGGCACCTTTGTTGTCAAGAAAGTAAAATTAAAGATGAGAAATTAAGACATTTTTTCCTCTTAGTGCAAATAACATGAAAAATCTGCACAGCAGCGGAAAAAAAAAGACAATCACGAGGGAATGCAGCTCTTAATTATCCCAGTTTTCAAGTTGAATTGTGTTAATCAATTTAAGATGCTGGATACAGCTTTAGTTAAGAAAACACAAACTGCTAAGGCTGTAATAACACCCCATCTTTACAAAACTCTGCTAATATCATTTTTTTTATCAGA